CCTCCGCCATCTCGCTGAGGCGGCCGTGTGGTGTTCCGCGTGTCCTCCGCCATCTCGCTGAGGCGGCCGTGTGGTGTTCCGCGTGCCCTCCGCCACCTCGCCGAGGTGGCCGTGTGGTGTTCGGTGTGTCCTCCGCCACCTCGCCAAGGTGGCCGTGTGGTGTTCCGTGTGTCCTCCGCCACCTTGTTGAGGCAGCCGTGTGGTGTTCGGTGTGTCCTCCGCCACCTCACCAAGGTGGGTGTGTGGTGTTCGATGCGTCCTCCATCACCTCGTTGGGGCGGCCATGTGGTGTTTGGTGAAGTCCTCCGCCGTGTCACTGAGGTGGGCGTGTGGTGTTTGGTGCTATTCGATGCCATCTGATGCTGCCTCGCCGAAGCGGGCACATGGTGTTCGGTGCAGAGTGCATTCCTGGACATGACCTACACCTGCTGAGCACACCCCTCGAGGCTAAAAGTCAGCATTTCCTGCAGATCCTTCACAAGCTAGTAGGGATTACAAAGAGCTTGGTGGTGGTGGTGGTGCCTGTTTGGCTCATGGCAACCCCATGTAACAGAGTAGAACTGACCCATAGAGTTTTCTAGGCTGTAATTTTTATGGGAGCAGATCACCAAATCTTTCTCCCATGGAGCCACTGGGTGGGTTCAAGCTGTCAACCTTTCACTTAGGAGCCAAGCGCTTAACCATTGAGGCCACCAGGGCTCCTTTATAAAAAGCTAGTTACTCAGAGTTACTCCATTACTCAGCAGTACTCAGCCCCTCCTTTGACTCAGTTCCTTTTCACCACGAGGGGGCAGCATACTTGGGCCCGTGGGCCAAATCTGGCCTGCCGCTTGTTTTTGTAAATAAAGTTTTGTTGGTACACGGTCACACCCATTCATTTACGTATTATCTATGGCTGCCTTGCATGACGGCAGCAGAGTTGAGTAGTCTCGACAGAGACCCCCGTGAAGCCACAAATGTTTATACTCTGTGGCTCTTTATAGAAAATGTTACTGATCTCTGGTTTAGATGCTGGAGATACAAACATAAAAAAAGAAAAGGAAAAATCCTTGCTTTTGTGGAACATTCGAGTGGAGGAGACCACCAATAAGTCAAAAGCAAATAAAAGATACTATCCCGAGTCTCAAGTATGGAGTCCTAATGGCACAGTGGTTATGAGATAGGCTGCTAACCAAACAAAAAGTTGGCAGTTCGAATCCACCAGCTGTTCCTTGTAAACCCCATGGGGCAGTTCTGCTCTGTCCTGTAGGGTCACGATGAGTTGGAATCAATTTGACGGCAATGGTTTTGGGTTTTTCTGGTATCTTAAAGTATAGGGTTGCTATGACTCAGGATTGATTTGAGGGCAATGGGTTTTTTGTCTCAAGTGTAGTGCATATGGCAAGGGAAAAATACCAGGGCGGGGGTTAGAGAGTGAGTGAGGGGACGCTAGATAAAGTGCCACTGAGCAGAGACTGGAATGAAGTGAGGGAGGGGACCACCCAGGTGTCTGGGGACAGAGTGCCCCAGGTGGAGGGCCCAGCCTGTGCAAAGGCCCTGAGGCAGGACCCTGCCTGTTGAGATGGAGGAGCAGCGAGGAGGCCCATGTGGCTGGAGCGGAGTGAGTGAGACCAAGAGAGGAGGGGTGAGGCCAGGGAGGGGACGGGATGGGGCGGGATGTACAGGGCCTTGTGGGCCACAGGGAGGGGACGGGGCGCGATGTACAGGGCCTTGTGGGCCGCGGGGAGGACTTGGCAGCCGTCATTGATCTAATGAAGTTTAAAATGATCCCTCTGGTTGCTGTATGAGGTGGCGACCGAGGGGCGTGGTGGTGGGTGGAGCCACTCCCGGTGGATTTGGTTGGATTCCAGGTGTATTTTGACTCCGAGCTGTCCCAGTTGATTGGCCAGTGGATTGAACATGGGGTCTGAGAGGGACAGGAAGCCAGCTCCTTGAGGGCTTTTGGAGATACGGTCTGAGAGGAGGGATGGTTTAGGAGAGAAGACTCCAGAGTTGGGCTGGGGCCTATGAGCGTTGCGTGCCTTACACCTGAGGTGTCACGTGGGCAGGTTTGCGTGCCCGAGCTCGGGCGCAGGGTAGCTCCACCATGGAATGTGGCATCTGCGGCACACAGAGGGTATCGGCCTGGGCACAGGACAGACACCAAAGGGATGCGTCTGGGCTGAGAAGAGGCTTGATCTGAGAGCCAAGCCAGGCACCCTGCGGTTCAAGCAGGCTTTACCCGCCCCCGCCTCCCCCCGGCACTGCTGACACGGGGGTCGATCCTTCTCTGGAGCGGGGCCGTCCTGTGTACTGTAGGGTGTTGAGCAGCATCCCCAGCCTCCACCCACTCCAAGCCAATAGAACCCCCCCAGTTGTGACAACCACAGATGTCCCCCAGACATCACCCAGTGTCCCCTGGGGGCAGAATCACCCAGGTGAAGACCCCTGGGTTAGGGGATTATGAGATTACATGACCCCCAAGAGACTCTGCATCCCATAATCATCTGACCTACTGACGTCCTAGGACACTGCCCACATTTAAATCCACACAGTGAATAGGGAGCAGAGAGGAGAGAAATCACAGGAGCTGGCGGGTCCCCCTGGTTTACACCGTCTGACCCAGCGGGAGTTTATTCTGCTGTGTAGTGTGAGCAGGGATCGAACGCAGTTTTTTTCTAAATAATGAATGCAGCGTCTCCCCCTCAGCACCGCTGACATGGGGGCTAGATCCTTCTCTGGGGCGGGGCCATGCTGTGCACTGTAGGCTGTTGAGCAGCATCCCTGGTCTCCACCCACTCGATGCCAGTAGCAACCCCCCCCCCCAGTCGTCACAACCAGAAACGTCTCCAGACACGGCTAAGTGTCCCCTGGGGGTAGAATCACAGTTGAGAGCCCCTCGCCCTCCGGCCCTAGCGGCTGGGCCCGTGTGCCCTGATGGCGTCTGTATCCCAGCACGCCCCTCCTGCCACATGCACACACTCGATGGTGTTCAGACAGCTGAGACGGCGGGACCGTGAGTCCCTTTGGGCCAGGACGGGACCTCACAGGCCAGGTCGGGGAGCCCCGTCCCAGTGGGAGGGGGGCAAGAGGGTGTCCGGGGCAGCATCGGGTGGAGCCTGAGGGTGGGGCGAAGGTGTGAGGGGCAGGGCTGGCGACAGCCCTGGCAGAGGGAAGTGTGGCTTTTGTAGTGGACAGTCACGGGTGACGGGTAGGAAGGTGGGCTCTGCGGGACCCCCTGGGCCGTCATGCCAGCCTGGAAGCAGGGGCTCGACCTGGGGGACCGCTGGAAGCACTGCGAGCGGACATGGAGGGCTTGGGGCTGAGTCTCATGGGGCCTCTCCAGGGGGCGGCAGGAGGAGGAAGTAGGGGAGGGGGCCGGACACAGACATGGAGGCCAGCAAGTCAGAGGGGCAGCTCAAGAGCGTCTGACTCACTCTTTTGAGGGCCCGCCAGAGGCGCCGTCAGAAAGGTCTGAACGAGAAAGCCGGCTCCTGTCTGCCATGCGCGTTGGGACGTTGTTGACCCGTGAGGGACACTGGGCAGAGCATCAGCTGTTGGCCAGAGCGCAAGCACCTCTGCTCCCCAGCCTTGTCTTGGCAGCACGTCCCCACGTCTCTACACCAGGGGGAGCTTATCTCTACTCACCCGTGGGGTTCGCGCACGGGAAATTTCCTCTCTCGGGTTAAATGTTTTTGATAGTTTGCCTCAGACTCACAAGGGTAGGAAAGACGACTTAGCCTTCTTGCGTACACTGTCCCGATAAGCTTCTGGTACGTGCAACAGACTTTCCGCATTGTTAGAATTTTAAAGTGAGATCTACAAAAAAATTCTATAGTCGAAGTGCAGCGGAGCCTTCACCCCGACCGCGGTGCTTGAGTCAAGGTCTGTCTGGCCCTTGAGACTCCCTGGCGGGGCTGGAGGCTTCACGCCAGGCACAGAGGCCCATCCCTCTGCTGTGTTTGGCACGTGGGCACATTGTGTGTGGTCTGCACAGGGTTCTACGATGGGGACATTTCGATAAAGTCCCAGATTCCGGGTTTTTCTCGGGGAGCATCGGGCCTGCCGTCTGTGTGGCAGGAACCGACTCCACAGCCCCGGAGCCAGCCTGTGGCCGTCCAGCGGGGCGCGGTCCCCACCTGGCTGGGTCTCAGGCCAGCCCACCCACCCCGCGTGAGCTGCCTGGCCTGTGCCAGCGTCTGAGCTGGCCCCGCGGTTGAGCAGATTCTGCGGCCGGTGTGCTAGGAGGGGCCTGGCCTCCGTGCCTGTGGGCCCCTTCACGGAGTCCCCAGCCCCCCTTCAGCTCTGTTTCTTTCCTTCCTTCCAGATGAATTTAAATGCCCCATCAAGGAGGAGATCGCGCTGACCAGCGGCGAGTGGGAGGTCTTGGCCAGGCATGGCTCCAAGGTAGAATCTCCACGCCCCTCCCGCCACCCCTGCGTGCACGTACGCACGCGCGCACACACACACATGCACACGTGCTTGTATACACGTGTGCACAAGTACGTGCACATATGTTCACGCTCAGGCGCACACGTACACGCTCTCACACGTACACACCCACCCACGTACACTTGCAGGTACACGCTCACACATATGCCCACACACACTTATACGTGTGTGCGTAGTTGCATACTTACACTCACATGTAGGCGTACACGCAGATACTTGTGCCCACTCGTGCACACACCCCTCCTGCCCCCTCCCAGCCCTGTGTGCCCAAGGCTTCTCTCCCTTCCCTCTGACTGCACCCTTGCTGCTCTGCACCCCCCTCTCCCGCCTGCTCTCCCTCCTCCCGGGAGCACAGGGGGCACAGGGAGCACAGGGAGCCCTGTTTGCCAGCAGATGCTGTTCTGAGCCCCGTGGGTGGATCCTGCTCTTACTTAAGGGGGCGCCACCCACCCCATTCTGAGTGCCGCCTGGGGGCCCAGTTAACCTCCTTCCAACCCTCCCCTGGAGAGCAGCTTGATGGGATGTCCTCCTTACCTAGAACTGTCACGCAGCTCCCGACCACAGCCCACCCCCACTCCCACCCCTGGGAGGCTCGTGAACCAAAGATGCATCTGCAGAGAAGTGAGGCGCACCCCAACTCCCAGCGCGTTAAAAACCGCTTGCCGTGGAGTCGCTTCCTACTCACAGCGCCCCTATAGGACAGAGCAGAAGTGCCCCAGAGGGTTTCCAAGGGCGCCTGGTGCATTCAGACTGCCAGCCTTTTTGGTTAGCAGCCGAGCTCTTAACCGCTGCGCCACTAGGGCTGCGAACAGACCCTCATGAAAACACGCTGAGCCTTTCCACACTGAAACGGCCTAATCCACAGCCGAGCACAGGGGTGACCACCGGGCAGCATTTCGTTCCCTTGTGCCTGGGGGCCAACTCAAAGACAGCTAACAGCACCCCCGAGTCAGAATCCCCATTCCTCTGTGTCCTGATCCCAGGAACCCCATTCCCTCAGAGTCGCCCTGCCGGTGACTTTCCCCAGCTCTTCTCTCCTGTCACCATGATGCTACAAGAAGTCCGTACTATGACTGCTTTAGGGGTTTTGTAGGTATTTCTGAAGATACGGTTTTCTGTGGCCACAGAGAATTGGGCCGTGGTTATGTAACCAGTCCCTGTTCTTGCCGTTGATGTTATTACCACTTTTTAGTCTGAAAAACACATTGAGCATCTTTGTCCATAGCTCTTGGCTGCTTCTCAGATGAATTCCTTAGGAAAAGTTCCCAGGAGCTTAATGATGGGGTCAGAGGACGCGTCCTTTTTACAGGTTCTGCCTCCATATTGCCAGGTTGGCCCCAGGAGAGTGATGTCAGCCGTAACAGGGTATGAGCATGTCTCTTCGCCCTTTCCCCAAGTCGTCACCCTTAGTTAGGTGCTGTCGTAGTCAACCCCTGTGGGTCAGAGTAGAGCTACTCCCTAGTGCTTTCAGTGGCTGATTTTCTGGATGTAGATTGTCAGGCATCTCCTCCAAGGTGCCTCTGGGAGAGCTCAAGCCTCTGACCTTTCGGTGAGCAGCCAAACGTGTTCACTGTTTGTACCGCCCAGGGGCTCCCTTAGTCTCCTAGGGCCACCGTAACAAATACCACAGAGTGGAGGGCTTTATTGTAAAGGGCAGAAATGTATCATCTCGCAGTTCTGGAGGCTGAGCGCCCGGGCTCAGGGCATCAGCAGGACTGTGCTCTCTCTGTCGGCTCTAGGGGAGGGGCCTTCCTTGTCTTCTCCAGTGTCTGGTGGTGGTCACTGGGTGCCCTCGGGTCAATTCCGGCTCATAGCAACTGCCCCATAGGGTTTCCTAGGCTGTCATCTTTACAGAAGCTGATCGCCAGGTCTTTCTCCCGCGGAGCCACTGGGTGGATTTGAACCGCCGACCTTTCCATTAGTGGCTAAGCGATTTAGCCCAGTTTCTGGTAGCCCTGGGCGTTTCTTGGCGTTCCTTGACTTGACTACAGATCCTCACACACTGTCTTTCCCCGTGTGTGACTCTGTTTTGTTCTGTGTTCTCCCTTTTTATAAGACACCACTCAGAAGGGATTAGGGTTAGGAATCCTCCTATTCTGGTATGACATCATTAACATAACTGATGAGATCATCAAAGACCCTATTTCCCCAATCAAGGTCACGTTCACAGGCACAGGGGTTAGGACTTCAGCCTGTCTCTTGGGGGACACAGTCCGACCCACACAGGTACACGTGGGCGCCTGGTATTGTCTCATCTTGTTTGTTGACGCGTGAAGTTGGGTATGTGCCCGCACCCGTCTTTCCAGATGCGTGGGGCGGGGGACGTTGAGGTGCAGGCCCGGGGGCAGTGGCCGCAGCAGTTCGCCGAGTGCACACTTTGCAGGGTGGAAAGTTCTAGAAAGAATTCCGAAGCAGCCAGGCAGGGCTGGTGGCAGTGGCCACGAGGCCACGGGGAACATCCTTGGAATAAAGGGCCACCTCAGCCACAGTCCCCCTGCTGGCCACAAACAACAGACCCGTTTGAACCAGAGTGAGAGAGGGTGCCTCGTGGGGCAGCTGTGGGCACCTCTAGCCCCATGGTATCTCTGGTGCCACCAGCGGATGCTGGTGACTTCACTTCATGGCACACCCAGGCCCGTATCCCCAGCTCTGCTGGCTCACAGGCAGCCTGGGCCCTTCAGATCCCCCTTCCTCAGGCTCTGCCCCATCGGCACACCGCCAGTGTGTGTGTGTGTGTGTGCGTGTGTGCGTGTGTGTGTGTGCGTGTGTGCGCGCGCCAGTGTGTGTGTGTGTGTGTGTTACCTGGAGTTCTCAGTGAGACGCCAGGCAGCTCATATGGGGGTTACGGGCTCTGTCAAGGTTCCCCTGGCTGGGGCCGTGTGATGAGGGTCCCCGCTGGGCTTGCCTGTCCCGGCCAGGTGGGACCCACACCCACCTCTCCAAGTCTTCCGGCCCAACATCCCCTTCCCTGACAGGGGGCTGCCTTGCCCTGGTTCTTTCACAGCTGCAGGGTCTCCAGTGGCCCCTGCCCCGAGGCTCAGCCTCCCCCACCGACCTCTCAGGCCCCGGTCGCAGGGTGGGAGCACTCCCGTCCACACACGAAGGCCAGCATGGTCCTCAGTCCCCGCCCAGCTCCGCACCTCTTGTTCCGTTTTGGGAGGCGGGTTGAGCACGCGCCCTCAAGGGCAGCACTTGCCCCATGGAGGTGGTCACCCAGGCGCACGCTGAGGACGCCCTCACTTGTGGCAGGGCTCGGCCACCCTGGAGGCAGAGGGGCACTGCTGTTCAGTGCAGCACCGGGGTCTTCTGGGCCATTTCCAGTGGTACCACACTGGGAGCCCCCCAGGAAGTGGATGGGGTACAGCGCTGTTGCTTCTTAACCCCAAGAATCTGGGCCAGGCCCTGGATGTCCTCCCCAGCCTCTGTCCCGTGCCTGTGCCCAGTCCTGCCACCCCAGCTCCAGAGCCACCCACATCCCCGATTCAGCCCTGGGGGAGCCATCGGGGTGGGGTTCCAATTCCATCCCTGCTAGAGAATCTCCAGGTCGCCCAGCTAGATCAGACCTGCCCCAGCCCACGGGCCAGTCAGCGCATCTCTGAGGGATGGTTGTCCTCTGGCCAGCAGGCCTGGCCACAGCAGGAGGGCAGGTCCTCTGTCTGCAGAGCGCTGGCCAGCCCCTGGGGGCAGAGAGAGGGGCTGGTCGTGGAGTAGGGGACAGCCCTCCACTGGGCCTCTGGGACCGAGGTGCAGCCACTCTGGGAGGTACGGGGTGCGGCCCTGGCCTCTCTGGGCGCGTGTTCTAGAACGTCTTCCTGGGGGCCAAACTAGGCCCTGTAACAGGAGCCCCTTCCCCGCAGATCTGGGTCAATGAGGAGACGAAGCTGGTATACTTCCAGGCTACCAAGGACACGCCGCTGGAGCACCACCTCTATGTGGTCAGCTACGCGGCGGCCGGCGAGATCGTGCGCCTCACCACACCCGGCTTCTCCCATAGCTGCTCCATGAGCCAGGTGGGCCCCGCTAGCACCCTGCACCTGCCATCCCCGTGCCTGCCGTCCCTGCGCCTACTGTCCCCATGTCCACCCAGGCACCCACACTTGTGTCCATCCTTATGTCCCTGCATCCCATCCAGCAACCGTCCTTATGTCCATGCATCGTCCTTGTGTCTCTGCATCTGTCCCCACATCCATCCTTGTGTTTGTCCCTGTGTCCACGTGTCCATCCCTGCGTCCGTCCCTGCATCTGTCCTTAATGTTTGTGTGTCCATCCCTGCGTCCGTCCCTGCATCTGTCCTTATGTTTGTGTGTCCATCCCTGCATCTGTCCTTATGTTTGTGTGCCCATCCCTGCATCTGTCCCTGCGTCTGTCCTGGTGTCCGTCCTTATGTTCGTGCATCCACCCCTGTGTCTGTCCCTGTGTCTGTCCTGGCATTTGTCCCTGCACAGAAAGCAGGGTGGGCCCCGGGACAGCCATCGTCACCTTTCCTCATGACAGCCGAGAGGTGGCTGCGCCCCAAACACACAGGTTGGGGGGGTGACGAGCCGCAGGCGCCCACCCCCACAGTAGGTGGCAAAGCCACTGGGAGGCTGTCGAGCGCCTGCCTCGTGCTACTGCTCTGGGCGCGGTCCCTCACCCCTGACAGCGTGCTCCAGAGCAGCTGGCAACGTCCTTGTGCAGGACAGCGCCCTGCCCAGGCTTCAGTGAGCCCAACCCCAGGTCACCGCGTACGGCCAGGGACAGAGTTCTCTCAGCCTCGGTTTCCTAACCTGTAAAGCGGGGGTGCTGACAGTGGCTTCCACCGCATGTGGGTGACGCTGTGAGCTTCAAACCCACCAGCACCGAGTAAACACCTTACATGTGTTGGTGGGTGACGGGCCCAGGAGGAAGGAGGGGGCCTGCCAGCACCTTCCCTGGAGCTGACGCGCCCTCCCCCTGCAGAACTTCGACATGTTCGTCAGCCACTACAGCAGCGTGGGTACACCCCCCTGCGTGCACGTCTACAGGCTGGGCGGCCCCGACAACGACCCCCTGCACAAGCAGCCGCGCTTCTGGGCCAGCATGATGGAGGCAGCCAGTGAGTAGCCCTGCCTGCCCGAGGGCGGCGGCCTCCGCCAGCCGTGCAACCCCACCGGGCCGCTCCCTCCCCTCTGCCAGGCAGCGCCAAACTCTCTTTTCTGAGCCTGGTCATCAAAGGGGAGCCCCTGGGCCTCTGGGAAGTGCAAACGATAAACACCCAGCTGCTAACCAAAAGGTTGGAGGTTCGAGTCTACCCAGAGGTACCTTGGAAGAAAGGCCTGGCAATCTACTTCTGAAAAATCAGCCATTGAAAACCCCACAGACCCCAGTTCTACTCTGACACGCACGGGGTCACCACAAGTCAGAGGTGACTCAGTGGCAGCTGGTCCAGTGGTCATCAGGGGGATCTTCACTAACCCGGCTGCTGGTAGGCAGGAGGCGGCGCCTGGCCCTGCCTGCTCAGCTTCCCCCAGCACCCAGCCTCCCGGAGAGTTCCCAAGAACTCGTCCTAGAGCTAACCGCCGGCCCCAGCCTGCTCATGGGCCTGCCGCTGCGGACAGTCTCTGTCTTAGTTAGCGAGTGCTGCTGTAGGAGAGATTCCACCAGGGGATGGCCTCAGCAAACAGAAGTTTATTCTCACACGGTTTAGGAGGCCACAAGCCCCGTTGCAGGGCGCTGGCTCGAGGGGAAGGCTTTCTCTGTCTGTGGGCTCTAGGGGAAGGCCCTTGACTCTTCTGAGCTTCTGCTCCTGGGCGATCTTCACATGGCGGGGCATCTCTCTTTCCCCATCTCTGCTCTGCTGGCGTGTTTAGTCTCTTTTATATCTCAAAAGGGATTGACTGAAGACACACCCTACACCGACACTTCCTTATTAACGTAACAGAGATAGCCCGCTCCCCAATGGGATTATAGCCACAGGTATATAGGACTGAGGATTTACAGCCCATTCTGGGGGAGACACAGGTCAGCCCATACAGCCTCTCATTTGTGAGATGCAGTGAAGGCTGAGGGGGTGGGGAGGTCAGGTCGGGAGCCAAGGGCCCCGTCCAGCCACCTTCCACATTATCTGTGGCAGCTTTTGCAGTGTGAGGGCAGAGTGGAATCACTGAACGCAGACCCTGTGGCTGGCAAAGCTGAAAACATTTATTCTTTGGCTCCTTAGGGAAAATGTTCACGGACCCCTGACCAAGATTGCAGTCACCTTAGTTTGGTTTGGAGCCCTGGTGGCGCAGTGGTTAAAAGCACTCGGCTGCTAATCCACAGTTCAGTGTTTCAAACCCACCTGCCAGTCTTGAGGGAGAAAGACAGGGCAGTCTGCTCCCGTAAAGATTTACAGCCTTGGAAACCCCATGGGCTAGTTCTGCTGTGTCCTCGCGGAATCGACTCCACGACAGCAGGTTTGGGTTGGTTTGGTTTATTTTCCTTTAAATTAACTTCCCCTGTTGAATGAAAGAAACTCAGCTTAAAGCAAAACTTTGCCTCACTGTTGTGATCGGCAAACCAGTGTTATTCTGCAAAAATCAACCAGTTGCCATCGAGTTGATTCAACTCCTGGCAACCCATGTACGTCAGAGCAGAACTGTGCTCCATAGGGTTTTCAGTGGCTGGTTTTCGGGAGTGGGTCGCCAGGCCTTTCTTCCGAGGCACCTCTGGGTGGCCTCGAGGTTCCAACCTTTGGGTTAGAACCTAGCACGTTAACTGTTTGCACCACCCAGGGTCTCCTGCAAAAATAAAAGTAGCCAGAAACTCAACGAGAACAATGAAAACAAGCCCATAAAATGAGATATTCATTAAACCCCAGGAGCTGTCACTTCTGTCACTTCTCCTGGGGTAGCTAGAGAGAAGGAAAGCCGAGAGGGGAATCACTTTCTCACCTCTGGGAAACCAGGGCTTCTTGAAGATCATCTGTGGGAGGAGTCCCTGGTGGCAGTTCAGACTCACCCAGAGGTGCCTCAGAAGTAAGGCCTGGCGATCTGCTCCTGAAAGGTCACAGCCTTGAAAACCCCATGGAGCAGTTCTCCTCTGCACACACGGGTTGCCAGGAGTTGGAACTGACTCCACGGCAACTAACAGCAGCTCTTCCTGACTCCATGCCGTGCCTGAAGGCCGTCCGTGGAAACTGCCCGGAGTTTCGCCACGGCCACATGGAACAGGGTTCGGGGCCTGATCACCCTCAGAGTCCTTCCTGGCCCAAGACCCTGGGTTTTAAACCACTGGGAGGGACAGGACTGTGCCTCCCAGCGGATCAAAACAGACAGGGTGGTTTCCACTCACCCTGCGAGGCCCGGGCGAGGTGGAGGCATGTCGGTGCCGGCCAGATGTGGGTCCTGCCGAGAGGCCCACCTGGGCGCCCCCTGGTCCACGTGGCGCCCACCATGCTGTATCCCCCGCAGGCTGCCCCCCGGATTACGTGCCTCCGGAGATCTTCCACTTCCACACGCGCTCCGACGTGCAGCTCTACGGCATGATTTACAAGCCGCACACCGTGCAGCCGGGCAAGAAACATCCCACCGTGCTCTTCGTCTACGGCGGCCCCCAGGTGGGTGCCTGCACTGCCCAGCCCTGGGGCGCCTGCTCTCTCCTCCCAGGCCCCTCCACCTTCACCTTTGCCAGCAGACCCTGCCCCGTCCGTCTGGGGAGCCTCCCACCCCGTGCGTTCATCCAAGCCATGTGCCTTGTCTCCCCCGCAACCCCCAGTGACCACACTGAGTCTCTCAGTGTCACGCTGACTCCAGGGACAGAGTGGCCATGGGCCCTATTCTCTGAGAAGGGGACACGGAAGACAGGTTGGCAGGGTTCTTGCCTGCAGGTGACTCTGCCCCCAGGGGACACTGGGCGATGTCTGGGGACATTTTAGTTTGTTAAGACTGCAGGGGGTGGGTGCTACTGGCATCGAGTGGGTGGAGGCCAGGGATGCTGCTCAACACCCTACAGTGCACAGGAGGCCCCACCCCAGAGAAGGCTCCAGCCCCAAATGTCAGTAGTGCTGGTGGGGGGATCCCTGCTGTAAGGCAGGTCGCACAGAGAAAACCACTGCCCCCGCCGCCGGCCTCCCCACACGCCCTACCACTGAGTTTCTGCATTTCTTTTTTTAAGACAACCGCACAGCGGAAGAGAGAGTGCACGTGGCTAACGAGATGAAGGAAGGGCTCCCAGGGAGGGGGTGACTGCGGCCTGGGCCCAGACGGAGCCTGATTTGGGCCTTTCTCTCTCCATAGCACACCCTAAGCCCAGGGCCGGGCATAGAGTGGGCCTCACTGTGGCCTTGTCACTCCCCCCAGCCCCAGAACCCTTCCGGGGCCATCCACAGCTCTCATGATAAATACGGACACCAGAACAAGGCTTGGAGTCCCTGTGTGTGCAAAGGTTAACCGAAAGGTTGGAGGTTCATGTCCACCCAGAGGTGCCTCGGAAGAAAGGCCTGGCAGTCTGCTTCCGAAAAATCAGCCACTGGAAACCCTATGGAGCACAGTTCTGCTCTGACACACACGGGGTCTGTAGGAGTCGGAGTTGACTTAGCAACAGTTGTTTTTTTAACTAGACTTAACAAGCACCCCTGCTGGCACCAGGCCCCTGCCTTCGGTCCCGCATCTCGATGACCAAGCTGCGGTCACTGAGTTTCTCTCTGTTCACCCAGAGCACCACGTCCTTGCGGGCTGAAAAGCAAACGTTGAGTTGCATTCAGCGCCACCCCCTTCTCCCGCCTGGCCTTCTCCCCACAGGTGCAGCTCGTGAACAACTCCTTCAAAGGAATCAAGTATTTGCGGCTCAACACACTGGCGTCCCTGGGCTACGCTGTGGTGGTCATCGACGGCAGGGGTTCCTGTCAGCGGGGACTCCGCTTCGAGGGGGCCTTGAAAAATCAAATGGTAACTTCTCTTCCACATCACTGTGGACCCTTCTGTGCTGTGACGAGAAGCTGGGTCACGTGGGCTCGGGGTTTGGAGGTGGGTCTGGGACACCACCCTCAGAAGGACAGTCCTGGCCGATGCCCTGAGGAGAAGCAGGGGGGGCTTCTGGAAACCAAGGGGGGCATCTTGCTTTGCTGCTTGGTGCCGATCTGCACCCTGTGGGGAGACAGATACACACCCCCATGGTCCCTGAGCATATAGCACAGGAGAGACTGTGACCCAGACACAACCAGACACTTTAGTCCAGGCCAGGTCAACAGGGAGTCCTGGGAGCTGGAGGTGCCCAAGGCTGGGACAGAGGGGGTGTGACTTTTTCAGAGTCACTCAGCCTGGAGGTGGCGGGCAAAGCTGGTACTATCTGATAACCACCCACACCTCCCCAGAGAGCGAGCAGTTTTTGACAGGGGGCAGCTCCACGCCGGGAGAACAGTGGTGGGGCTGTAGGGGCATGCCCGGGAGGTGACTGAGCAGTGCGCCTTGTCCCCAGGGCCAGGTGGAGATCGAGGACCAGGTGGAGGGCTTGCAGTACGTGGCCGAGAAGTACGGCTTCATCGACCTCAGCCGCGTCGCCATCCACGGCTGGTCCTACGGGGGCTTCCTCTCGCTGATGGGGCTGATCCACAAGCCCCAGGTGTTCAAGGTGGGTCCCGCCAGGGCCGGCCTTGGCCACGCCCCTCTGCGCCCCTGCCCTTGCGCCCTGAGCCCCTCGGAGCCCGCCCCTGCCCCCGGGGAGGCGCCTGGTCGGGGCCTCGCCACGTGGCTGTTTCTCCCCGCAGCGGCCCGGCAGGGACGAGCCCCCCTCCTCATTGCCCGCCGCTGCTGATCCCAGGACGGCGTCCGGCTATACCCAACCCCACCGGCAGCTCTCTGTGGCAGGCTGAGCCCGGGACCGGCCTCGGAGGGGCAGAGGTGGGGCGCGGTGTGCAGAGGCGGCAGGGAGGGGCCCCGGCCGGCCGGCACTGTCCAAGGGCATGGGGCGGCGGCGGCGATGAGGAGGTGGCGGCAGAGGGCGGGGCACGGTCCCTCGGCCCCGGGAGGGCTGCACGGCAGGCACCCACACCCGTCCGCTCACCGGCCCTGAGTGGCCCCTGAGCAGTCCCCACCCACAACGCCCCACCCACGGGGGGACGCATCAGGCCCTACCCCCGACCCGGGTGCATGTGCGCCCCCCCCATCTCCGGGCTAGGATGGCCGTTGGGCGCGGGCTCCCGGCCTGACGCGTGTCTCTCTCTCCACCCGCCTGCCGCATCCCTCAGGTGGCCATTGCAGGCGCCCCGGTCACTGTCTGGATGGCCTATGACACAGGGTACACGGAGCGCTACATGGACATCCCCGAGAACAACCAGCACGGCTATGAGGCGGGCTCCGTGGCCCTGCACGTGGAGAAGCTGCCCAACGAGTAAGGCCCCGTCCCCCCAGGTTGTCCACCTCCCCTCCTCACTGCACCCACGGGGTGCAAGCACCCAGGGGTACCCCAGGACAGAGGAGCTAGAGTTGCACCACAGTTCCCCTGCAGGCTCCCCTCGCTCCCCAGTGCGCTCTCCCTAAGTATGACCCTGTGGGCACAGCGCAGCCATCAGGCCCCGCCTCTGTCCTGCGTGTTGTGACACCGGGGGGATCGGGGCATAGACATTCACGGTGGCCGAGATGTCCAGGTTCGCCGAGCAGCTCCAGTGCCCCATCTTGTGCTCCCTATGCTGGGCTGTCTCTCTGATGGGAAGTAATCGGGCTTGCTGTGTCCTATCAGGCCTCCGTCTGGCTCATTTCTGCCCTGTACCCCACACCTTCAGTGCCATGGTTCTTGGTGGGGGACTTAGAAAACCGTCCTGGCCCCTCACCCAGGGGCCCTGCTCTCTTTGGGATCCCCAGGGATACCGGTGCACAGCCAACCTGGAAAACTACCATGTGATTCCTGCCCTGTCTACACAAGGCCATTTAAACTTAAGTTTACATTAAAAATGATACGTCGGTAGAGACAGAAAGTAGATTGGTGGTTGCCGGGGCTGGGGCTGGGGCAGGGGCAGGGGCAGGGGCGGGTGGGTGGAGAGATTCTGCTTAATGGGTCTGGGAGTTTACTGTGGAGTGATGGAATGTTCTGCGACTACATAGCTGCAGTGGTTGTACAACATCGTGAGTGTTCTAAATGACACTGAACTGCTCACTTTACTGTGGCGCATTTTATGTCACGTGAGTTTCACCTCGATACAGTATATTTCTTGTAAATTAACTAAAATTCAGATCCTCATTCACTCCCACCACATTTCAAGTGCTCAGTGGTCACGTGGCTGGTGGCTCCCATGTTGGACAGCACAGGTCTAGAATATTCCCAACCTTGCTTTCTAGAGTATTGCTCTAGAAGGTTCTCTGTGGCTCAGAGACCAACCATTTCCACACAGATGCCCACGCACACATACATACTCCTCCCCTCCCTGCCTGAAGACCCCACATTCCTGCCCAGGTGCTCAGGTGCTCAGGGCTGGGATCTTGCCCCCAGGCCTGGAGGGTGCTGTGGGCTGTGGCCTGAACCTCCCCCCGCTGCTGGTTCGGGGCAGGAGTAGGTGGCAGGTGGACCCTGCCCAGCGACCCCTGGCCTCCAAGCCTCGCCCCAACCCTGTCTACCAGCCCCGACCCTCTCTTCCAGCCTGACCCTATCTTCTAGTCCCAACCCTATATCACAGGCCCAACCCTCCACCAGCCCCAAGCCTATCTTCCAGCCCTAACCCTAACTCCAGAGGCCCAACCCTATCCACCAGCCCTGACTCTGTCTTGCAGCCCCAACCTTGTCTTCCAGCCTCAACCCTGTTCACCAGCCCTGACCCTGTTGTCCAGCCCTGACCCTGTCTTCCAGCCCCAAACCTGTCTACCGGCCCTGACCCTTCTTCCAGCCCCGACCCTGTCTTCCAGCCCCGACCCTGTCTTCCAGGCCCAACCGTCTGCTCATCCTCCACGGCTTCCTGGATGAAAACGTGCACTTTTTCCACACCAACTTCCTTGTCTCCCAGCTGATCCGAGCAGGAAAACCTTACCAGCTTCAGGTGGGTGGCTCCCAGACTCCTCCTGCCTGCCCCAGGAGCCAGCAGAACTCTGGGGAAGGGAAGGGAAGGGGCCCACGCAGGGTAGACAGTGGACACCATGGAATTACCTCACAGTGCATCAGCTGCCAGAAGCAGAGCTCCCACCGCTAGGGCATCTGCGGCTCTCTCCCTTCCTCCCACCCCCACACCCTTGCTGCTCTGCATACCTATGCCTGACTGCCTCTCTCGGGCACCCTGGGCTCCCCTGGGGCCCGATGCTCCCTCGTCTGTTTATCCAGCACACGGGTACCAAGCACTCCGGGCTGTGCTGCCATTGGTACTCAGAGCACCCAGGAAGGGGACAGACCTGGCCCTGCTTCAAGTCTAGATGCTGCTGACGTAGTTACATCTTAAGCCGAGAAACTTGTTTTGAAGCAAAAACACAGGGTCCTGGAATTGTCTGACAGGGTCAGAGAAGAGTTCCCTCGGGTGACATGAAGCAGAGACCCACAGAGTGTGTTAGGGGTTCACCCGCGTGAGGATGCTGGAGTGGTGGACATCCAGGCAGAGGAGGAGGGAGCAGGCCAGAGGCCGGGGTGGCAGGATGGGACCACACATCTCTTCTGAGCCCAAGATTCTGAGCTGACCGTCCTCCCAGAGGCTAGCAGCTGGACAGCCAGGCCCAGATCCAGCCCCTCTGTTTGTTCCTGCTCCTGCCCTGTGTGGCCTGGATGGCAAGTCAGTTAATCTCAGGCCTCGCTTCCCCATCTATAAAATGGGTACTGTAACCCCTGCCTCATGGTGAGGCCATAAGGGCTACACGAGTTTCTGGGAAGTGTTGGGCATGCAGGGTTTCCCCAGGGTCCCAGTCCCCTGCCTCCTGGAGAAGTTGAAAGTGAGATAAGGGAGTCTGTGGGCACAGGACAGATGGAGGACAAGTTGGCGTCAGAAGTGGGATTTGAACATCAGTCTTCTGTGTCAGACACCCCAAAACATCTGGACAGGGAGGCTGGAGATGGTATCTGCTGATTGCCAGCCCCAGGCCCTCTTTAGTCACACGTCACGTCTTTCACGTGTCAGGCCCCAGGCTGGGAGCACAGTGGGGACCCTGACAGGCCTGCTCCCTGCCCCCACAGCCCAGAAGGAGGAGGAAATAAGAGGGTGGCTAGGACCCAGGGTGGCATGAGGGGCAGGGGGAGGAAGAACAGGCGGGCATGGGGGACAGCATGTGCAGGAGTGGACGGCAGCAGGGTCTGTCTTTGGGTCTGGGGAAGAGGGGGCCGTGAGGCTGCAGGGGCAGCAGGGCCCGGGAGGATGAGTATTGATGTCAGGCTGGGGATTCTTGCAGAGCTCTGCATAAGGATGGTGTAGTCAGACTGTGATTCACCCAGGGATGGATTAAAGAAGGCAAGGATAGAGGAGAGGACACCAAGAGTCGGTTTGGTGCTCTCCTGGGTAATGGGCCAGGACAGTAGCAGTGGGCCTGGGGAGGAGAGATGCTTAAGAAACCCATCTCATTGGCAGGGAAGGGGCCACCTGGCCTTCCATCTGCCAACCACAGTGAGAAACTGGGGCTGGGTTCTTTGGGATTTTGGAGCAGGTTCCACACCTGTCCCTCAAGTCCCCAGGGGGCAGTGAGAGCTGATGGGGTGCCCGTTAGCACCTCAGGGGACTTCGCATCATGACCAGAGGACAGACCTATTTCCCTGTTGCCATCCACCCAGTGGGCAGCAGCCTGGACCGAGGGCACGGGCAGCAGCCTGGACCGAGGGCATGGGCAGCAGCTTACCCAGGTCCCGGGGGACTGGGTGGTTCCATGGGCATGGCCCTGGGCACCAACATGTTGCTGCCGCTCCCTGGGTGGTAAGAAAACTCCCAACACAAGGGGAGTGACCTGGAAAACATGAGGCCTAGAGCTTGGCATGTGCAGTCCAAACATGGCCTTTTGGCAAAACAGGAATGATTCTGGGATGGGGGCACAAAACGTGAGGGTGGAATCACATCTTTTTCTGCAGAGATCAGTACGTCACACCTTTGGAAAGGACTGCCGATCTTGGCAGATCTGAAAGGGTCAAGAGAGGCATAACAGCTTTTTTAAGTCTTTTCATGTATACAAGTGTCCCACATTATATGAACATTGTTTTATTGAACCCTCACAAACACCCTATTTTTGAGTGCGGAGGCTGCAGTCAGAGAGGTGGTCACTTGCCTAGAGTTTCAAGTTGGTGTCGGAGGTGGGATTTGAACTTAGGACCTTCAACTCCAGAGCATGTGCTCCTCCCCGCCCTGAGAGAAGGGTGTTTGTGTTGTAGACTGGAGAGGAGATGCCCTGAGCCTGGAAGGGGGGAGGGGCCTTGGGGGACATGGCAAGGGCAATGTCTCCCGGTGCCACCAGTGCTGCCTTCTCTCTCCACCCAGATCTACCCCAACGAGAGACACAGTATTCGCTGTCCCGAGTCTGGTGAGCACTACGAAATCACACTGCTGCACTTTCTACAAGAATACCTCTGAGCCCAGCCTTGGCTCGCCCCACCCGCCCGGAGCCTCCACCTTCAGAGCACAAGTGGCTTTGCCGCCGCCACCATAGGAAGCCAGCAGAGGGACAGAGCGGCACCCCCAGGCCTCAGCACGGTGTCTCCTCCCACCGCCCCCGCTGGACAGCCTTGAGAGCCACCTGCCTTTGTCAACCGAACGCCTTTTATTAGTTTTTAATGCTCCTGTGTTTTTTGCCTGCTGCTTCTTTGTTGTCTGGGCAGAGAGATGGTGGCCGATGTTCACGAGGCGCCTCCCCAAGCCATCCCCTCCTTTCCCTGTTCTCTGGGAAGAAGGAGACCACAACCCTGGGGAGCATCGGAGAGGTCGGCGCTCAGGTGGCCCTGGCAGAAGAGATTGGGGAGGACCTACGGCCCACAGCCAGGCCACCACAGCCCCACGGCCTCCTGGTCCCCGAACTTGGTCCGTCACTGTCCCAGCACAGAAGCATGATTGCCTTTGCTGCCCCCACCCCCACTTCATTTTTGCATTTTGTTCTGGGGGCATTTTTTCAAAATTATTTAAAAGACAAAAAGCAAGGGATGCCTAAACGGAGAGCCGGGGTCCACCGCCGGGTAGTGGGCGAGCCCAGCCCTGACGAGCCCTGTGTCTTCCAGAGCCCAGAGCGGAGTCATGCTGGGCAGGGCAGCGAGTGTCCAGGGACCTCCAGGGGTGATGAGTATTAATGCCCTCCTGCCACCACCCCCCCACCCCCACCCCAAGCTCTCAGGCTGAACCCGCCGAGTGGCAGTTCTCTGCTGGTCAGTGGCTCTTGTTCCCCTTCCCAGCCTAGGAGTCCAGCCACACGTGTCCGCCTGGCCCATACACACTGGGGTTCCGGGGCTGGGAGTCGGAACCGTCCCCACCTCAGGGTTATCGTTCCCCCTTTCTTTCCCTCCCTGCCAAGAGTTCTGCCAGGGGTGGGCCAAAAAGAGGAAGAAGAAAAAAAAAAAAACCAGAAATGAACCACCTCTACATATTATGGAAAGAAAATATTTTTGTCGATTCTTATTCTTTTATAATTATGTGTGTAAGAAGGAGACTCATTAAAGGATTCCAGATGGAGTCACTGCCAACTGCCTGGGATCCTTCTGGGCCCCGGGGTGGCTAACAGGCTGTCTTAGTGTCCGCAGGAGGGGGGCTTTAAAGGACAGCAATGTCTTTCCTCACACTGCTTCAGACCGGGTGGCGGCTGCACCCACGCCTTCCTCGTCGGTAGTCCCGGGCATTCCTTGCTTCCTGGGCCATCCTCACAGGGTGTCTGTCTGTCCCTGTGTGTGCGTGTCTGTAACAGCTACTGTCAAGTTGACTCCGAAGCACAGCCACCGGATGTGTGTCCGAGTAGAGCTGTGCTCCATAGGGCTTTCAGTGGCTGAGTTTTTGGAAGTAGATCACCAAGCCTGTCTTCCGAGGTACCTCTGGGTGGGCTCGAACCCCCAACCTTTCGGTTAGCAGTGAGTGCGTTAACCATTCCTGCCACCCAGGGTCTCCCCGGGTCTGTGCTGCTCTTTCTGTAACTCAGAAGGGCTTAGGTGTGGGATCCACCCTACACTGGACTGACCACAGCTGACTGGCTGATTGTATCACCGTGGTCTGCTCCATGGAAAGCGTTACATTAGATGTGAGATCATTACATTAGATTACATCCACAGGTGTAGGGGTTAGGATTCCAACACACATTTTGGGGGGACACAATTCAGTCCATAACGAGGGGGCTTTGGAGAGGGGATGGAGCCCAGGCACAGCAGGAAGTCCTCGCTGTCTCTACCTGCTTCCGTTTGCCTGGAAGGCTCCCTTAGCCGGGGCTGCGCTGGCCCCGGGGGACGGTCCTCGTCGGGCAGTCCCAGCTGCTCTTGCAACAGCAACCAGTGTCCTCGGTGGTACAGAAAGGTCTGCAGATACCGTGTCACCTAGGGACCACAGTGTATTGCGTGTGGCCTCGCCCGACCCCAGACTTCCCCGGGGCGACAGCAGGGCCTTATTCACAGGGTCCCTATGGTAGATGCTCTGTGGGTTCACTCTCACCTCCTCGTTGCCCTGTGCTTGTGGGACGGTCTGACTAGTTCAGGGACCGTGAAATGCGGATGGGGGTGGCCAGGGCACACCCCGCTTCCTGTTGATCTATCCCAACAAGCAAGGGCCGCGGGGAGCCCACCTGGACAGACAGCTGTTTCTAACAGCAGGGACAGACCTCCCCTGCACTGTCCACTCTGCATCCTTTGGGAAATTCTATTTGTCATTGAGACTATGGCACAGCAGGACATACACCAATTCAACAGCTTCTCCACGTACAGTTCAGTGACGTTGGTTACATTCTTCGAGTTGTGCAGCCATTCTCACCCTCCTTTTCTGAGTTGTTCCTTCCCCATTAACATAAACTCACCGCCCCCTAAGCTTCCTATCTAACTTTCGAGTTGCTGTTGTCAATTTGATCCCACAGAGATAGATCTCGAAGGAGCACAATGCTCAAGGCAGACATTCTTTACTAGTTAAGCTAAACTATTGTTTGGTTTAAAGAAGACTTCAGAGGGATATTTTTGGTTTAAGATTTAAAAATTATCTCAGGGCAATAGTTTTGGGGGTTCATCCAGTGTTTATAGCTCCAGGAAGTCTGGATTCCATGAGGATTTGAGATTCTGTTCCACATTCCTCCCCCCACTTTGATCAGAATTCGTCTATGGAATCTCTGATTGAAAAGTTCAGTAACGGCAGCCGGGCACTTTACAGTTCTGCTCTCAGGGCACAGGAGGCAGTTAGTTGTTCAAGCAGGCAGGCAATCAGCACGCATTGCATTTCCTCCTCCTGTTCCTGACGCTCCTTTTTCCTCTTTGCTCCAGGCAAATAGAGACCAATTGCTGTACCTTGGCCACTTGCAAGGTTTTATTTCTTTTTTTTTTTTTTAGGGGGCTTAAAAAAAAACAAAAAAACCTCAGCGTACAAAAGGATTTATAGGATATATTGGGGGGAAGACGCCTTCCCTCCACAGAGGTACCCCCCACCAGTTTCTTGCATTTTCTTCCAGGAACACCTGTGCACATATATCCACACACTGGTTGCTGTTCACTGCTGTTGCCTCGGCTCTGACTCATGGCGACGTGCACAGCAAAACCAAACACTGCCCAGCCCTGCACCATCTTCAAGATCGTTGGTCTACTCAAGTCCATTACTGCGGCCACTGTGTGTTTTGAGTGCCTTCCAACCTGGGGCTCATCTTCCAGCACTATTATCAGACAAATGTTCTGTCGTGACCCATAGGGTGTTCATTGGCCGATTTTCAGAAGTAGATCGCCAGGCCTTTCTTCCTAGTCTGTCTTAGTCTGGATGCTCCAGTGACCCTGCTGATATTTCAGATACTGATGGCATAGCTTCCAGCATCGCAGCAACATGCCATGGCGCACAGACCATAATTGGCCAAACCCTGGTGTAAATGCTACTGCAATATATAGCTTTGTACATGCCTTGGGCATATGTATGAGTTTATAGGGTAAATTCCTAGAATTACCAAAAGGTATATTCATTTTTAATTTTGAAGAATATTGCCACCACAATACAACAGATTGACTGACAGGCTGTGGACACCCTAGAAGCGATATATATATTAATCTGTACCTTGATTTTTTTTATGGTGATTTAGATGAAAGTTTACAAAGCAAATTGGTTTCTCATTCAAAAATTTATACACAAATTGTTTCACGGCATTACTGCAATCCTGCACTGTGTCAGCACTCTCCCCCTTTCCCTCCCCCCCCCCCAGGTTCACTGTGCCATTCGTCCAGTCTTCCTGTCCTCTCCAGGTTTCGCGTCTGTTCCTGGGCAGGTGTTGCCCACTCAATCTCGAATACTTGATTGAGCTAAGAAGTACGTTCCTCACATGTGTTATTGTTTGTCTTAGAGGCCTGCCTAATCTTTGGCTGAAAAGTGAACTTTCAAGTAGCTTAAAGTCTGAGTTAGAACCATAGCCTCAGGAGTCCCTCCAGTCTCTGTTAGACTAGTAAGTCTGGTCATTCTTGTGAATTTGATAATTTGTTCTACATTTTTCTCCCTGTCTGGGACCTTCTGTTGTGATCCCAGTCAGAGCGGTGAGTAGTGACAGCCGGGCACCAGCTAGTTCTTCTGGTCTCAGGATCATGTAGGCTGTGGTTCATATGGTCCATTAGATCTTTGGACTAATTGCTCCCTTGGGTCTTTACTATTCTTCCCTCTTCTTTGCTCCAGGCTAAAAGAGACCGATAGTTGTATCTTAGATGTCCTGCTTGCAAGCTTTTAAGACCCCAGACACTATTCATCAAAGCAAGATGTAGAACATTGTCTTTAAGAACTATGTTGTGCCAATTGATGTAGGTGTCCCCGAGTCTATGGTCCTTTGCCTTCAAGCCTGGGAGCTTCATTCCATGAGGTGTTTGGTTATGTCTAAGAGGTTTCTCCGACTGTGCCCCTTGTGTGCTCTATTATCTATATTAATATATGAGGAGCACCTACAGTCATGGTATGTAGAAATTTCCACCTCCGAACCTGTATCTGCTGGTGGGTGTGTTCCCTTACTCCCTCCCTCACCACTTGGCATATCTATCTATGTATCCATTTGTAGATTATTGTTTGTCAAGATTATTGTTGCAGAATTGTCTATGCTATAGTAGTTACCATACCAAAAAAACCAAACCCGTTGCCATCGAGTTGATTCTGACTCATAGCGACCCTATAGGACAGAGTAGAACTGCCCCGTAGAGTTTCCAAGGAGCAGCTGGTGGATTCGAACTGCTGACCTTCTGGTTAGTTGCCAAGCTCTTAACCACTGCGCCACCAGGGCTTCTAGTAGTTACCATAGTTGTCCTTTATTCCTGCATTCCTCTTGGTGTCTTCTCTTGCCTTGGTCATGTTGTGCTGACTTCTCCCATATTGTGTATTCCCTTTTCCTTCACCACTATTAACTCGTGTCTACTATCTCTTTGGTAATTTTCCCTCCCTCCCCCTCCCCCCCAATCCCTGGTAACCA